CTTTTGGAAAAAGAACCAAAACCAAAACCAGCTCATCCAGCACGCCGTGCACCCCTGCAAGCAGGGGGCGGCGGATCCAGTGGCCGTCGGCCTATCCCGCCACCGTGCGTGGGTGGTGGGTCAGAGGCCTCATGGATGCTGGTTGGGATCTCGTGGTTGGCTGGGACTTCTGGGGGCCTCTTGGGCGCCTCTTGGGGCTTCTTGGGGGCCTCTTGGGCCTCTTGGGGCCACTAGAGGGCCTCTTGGGGGTCTCTTGGGAGCCTCTTGGGGCTTCTTGGGGGCCTCTTCTGCGCCCCTTGGGGCCTCTTGGAGGCCTCCTCGGAGCCTCTTGGTGCGGGAGGGGTGGTACTCGAGTTCGGAACCCCCTCGGAGGCCACGATCCTTGTGAGGGGTGTCAAAAAACGCATCCGCCGGAAACTCGCATCCCCCCCCCCACCCACCCCCCCTTCCCCGGCAGAGCCACCCCGGCAACCCCCCCAGAGGCTGAGGCTCAGCCTCGAGGCTGTAGCTGAGACTCCTTGAAACTCACACGCCGGATCGGCGGATTTGCAGGGGCCTATGAGGAGGGAATTGGGAGGGATGATTTATTGCAATGTCGTCGGTGGGTCTTGGGTTTGCACTGCTCTTCCTCCTCCTCCACCTCCTCCTCCTTCTCCTCTTCCTCCCCTCCCCTCCTCCTCCTCCTACTCCTCCTCCTCCTCCTCCTCCTCCTCCTCCTCCTCCACCTCCTCCTCCACCACCCTCTTCCCCTCCTTGTCCCAGGCCGCCCGGCCGAGCCCGGCCCCCCTGGCGGCGGGCACCCTCGCGCCGCACGGGAGGACACGTAGCCCTGGAGGAGGAGGAGTAGAAGGAGGAGAAGGAGGAGGAGGAGGAGGAGGAGGAGGAGAAGGAGGAGGAGGAGTTGGAGGAGGAGGAGGAGGAGGAGGGGAGGAGGAGGAGGAGGACCAGTGGAAACCCAAGAGGCGCCAACGATGTTGGAATCCATCCGCCCTCCAAGCTCCCTCTTCATAGGCCCCTACAACGGTTCAGTCCCACCGAGAGAACTGCCTGGTTGGAAGACAGCCGTTTGGAGACCCTGAAGCATGCCAAAACATTGTTCTCGGGATTGCAACGCTACGGATCAACCTGACTGTCACGTCGTGACGATCTTGAACCGTGCCAGAACACCATTCCCAGGACTTCAACACCGCGAATCAACGTAATTGTTGCGCCCGCATAACGAATGTGCGCGGCGCTAAGGCGAGAGCCACATTTTGAAAACGACTCGCCCTCCATATGTAAAATTGTTGTCAATTTTTAAGCCTTAGGGTCATAGATGGTGAGGGAGTTTTAGGCGAAACGCCCAGACCACCCTGAAGACTGGCCTCGGGGTGCGACAGGGATCAGTTATCTATACGGAAAAGGAATTGAGGAGGAGGATGAGGCTGAGGATGAAGATGAGGATGAGGAGGAGGAGGAGGAGGAGGAGGAGGAGGAAGAGGATGATGATGAGGAGGAGGAGGGGGAAAGAGAGAGGTTGGAGGCTGGAGGCGGCGGCTGATGACGATGCTGATGGTGATGATGACGACGATGGTGATGATGATGATGCTGAGGATGATGCTGATGATGATTATGGTGATGATGTTGTTGATGATGAGGATGACGATGCTGATGATAATGGTGGTGGTTGGTGGTGATGGTGATGGCAATGATGACGATGATGATGATGCTGATGATGATGATGATAATGGTGGTGATGATGATGATGATGGTGATGATGATGATGATGATGCTGATGCGGATGATGATACTGATGATGATGATGATGATGATGATGATGATGATGATGCTGATGCTGGTGCTGCTGATGATGGTGGATGATGACGATGGTTATACTGATGATGATGGTGCTGCTGATGATGACGAAGATGCTGATGATGATGATGATGATGATGATGATGATGCTGATGCTGCTGCTGATGCTGAGGATGATTATGATGATGATCAGGAGGATGACCATAATATACTCAAGGTGCATCAACGATGTCGCAATACACCCTCCCTCCAGGTTCCCTCTTCATGGGTCCCCACGAGAATTTGTTTTAATTGCGGGGAGTGCCCCATTGAAAGTGAACCGATTGAGAGTCCGCAACCGTGCCAAAATACCATCCCTGGAATTAACGCCACGAATCAACGTGATTGTTGGTTCCGACAGTCCTCAATCGTGCCAGAACGCCATTCCTGTGATTCCAGCACAGCGAGTCAAAGTGACTGTTGCGTCCTGACAATCCCAAATTGGGCCAGAACGCCATTCCTGGGACCTTCAGCCCTTCGAACCATTGAAATTGTTGCAAGTTTTAAGACGAATGTGTGCGGCGCTAATCTGGCTGCCATCTATTGAGAAGGACCCGCCCTCCACCGTTGAGACTGCTGCGAACTTTAAGACAAATGTGCGCGCTGCTTAAGTGATAACTGCATTTGAAAGCGGCCCGCCCCGCCCTCCATCATTGCAACTGTTGCAAATGAACCCGGCGCGACCCCAATTTGGGGAACACCTTCTATTGCATGGGCGCAGTGCTTGGCATTGCTTGGCATTGCTTGGCATTGCTTGGCACTACTTGGCATTGCGTGGAACGGGCACAGTAAGAATACAAGTCTCCGGGTGCGCAGAGCCCAGGGAACCCGGGGAACCCGGGGAACCCGAGGAACCAGGGGAACCCGGGGAGCATGAGGAACCCGGGGAACCCAGGGAACCCGGGGAACCCGGGGAACCCAGGGAACCCGGGGAACCCGGGGAACCCAGGGAACCCAGGGAATGTCCGGGGAAGAGGCAAAGTAGGGTCCCGAGACACCAATCTTCAACCAAGTAAAGCTCCCTTAGGCAAGCCTAGTTGTGGAATTTTTCAAGAGAATATGCTCTGCGCTAGGGCGAGTACCACATGTTGCAAACGATCCGCCCTCAGGCTTCTAGATCATACATGGTGGGGAATTATCAGGCGAAGCGCTCGGCCCGCCCTACCGACACGTCTGGAGGTGCGACGGGGAGGGGTTATTTGTAGGGGAAAAAGCTGGGGGAAGAGGAGGAGGAGGAGGAGGAGGAGGAGGAGGTGGAGGAGGAGGAGGAGGAGGAGGACCAATGTAAACCCAAGAGTCACCAACGACGTTGGAGTAAGCCCTCCCTCCAAGCTCCCTCTTTATAGGCCCCTACAACGGTTCATTTCCATTCTTGGAACTGCCTCGTTGGAAGACACCCGTTTAAAGACCATGAAACAGTCAAAACATTGTTCTCGGGATTCCAACGCGACAGATCAACCTGACTGTTGCGTCTTGACGATCCTGAATCTTACCAGAACGCCATTCCTGGGACTTCAGCACAGGGAATCATCGTAATTGTTGCACCCGCATAATCCTGAGTAGGAGGACGAGGAGGAGGCGGAGGCGGCGGAGGAGGAGGAGGAGGAGGAGGAGGAGGAGGTGGAGGAGGAGGTGGTGGAGGAGGGGGAGGGGGAGGAGGAGGAGGAGGAGGAGGAGTAGGAGGGGAGGAGAGAGGAGGAGGAGGAGGAGGAGGAGGAGGAGGAGGAGGAGGGAGGAAGAGGAGAAGGAGAAGGAGGAGGAGGATGAGAAGGAGGAGGAGGAGGAGGAGAAAGAGGAGGAGGAGGAAGAGTAAGAGGGGGAAGAGGATGAGGAAAGGGAAGAGGGATGAGGAGCAGGAACATAAGCAGGAGGAAGAGGAGGAGGACGAAGGGGGGATTATGTGGGGAGCACAAAGCGCCCGGCGGGACACTGGACCACCCCTGGGCCGCACGGGAGGACATCGAGCTGCCGCCCGGGCTGCGCATGGGCATATTCGAGGAGCAGGAGTTCCCCCCCCAAGGGGCAGGTCGGGCGTAGCCTTCCTCGGCATGGAATCGGCGACGTGTGGCCGATAGATCGGTGATAGGCCTCCGACAGCGAATCCGAAAGTTCCTGGGCAGCAGTCTGGCAGAAAACGTTACGGCCTGACGGCTCCCGCCAGCCAGCGTGCCAGGAAGGTATTCGTGCTTCTTCGGCCTGCTGCCCTCCGCTGTCTTAGACGCAGGCGGCTGAATTCGATAAAGTTGACAAGGTGTCGCGCCGCGAAACTTAGAGTCAGGATCTATCATGCGCCTCAGCCAAGGGGCCTGCACGGCGAGCTGGCGGCAGCATCGTCGGGCGCGCCCAGGTGTGTTCAAAGCATCAACAGTTAGCAATACAGCACACGTCTCGCGTTCCACTTGGATAGTGTATATATATATATTTATATGCCGTCATGTATACCTTATGTATACATGCACTACGTACGCAGTTGTTGTTTATTAGTATCACCATCTCTATTCTATAGATAAACATGTAGATACCTGTATATATAAGTATCCAGATGTCTACGGCAAATCCCGCCACCATGCTAGTACACCAGCGCAGCAGAAACACTGCTCCGCTTTGAAACATCGCAATTCCGACGGGTGGTTTGACTCGGGACGCCTCGTGAACTTTGACCTCGTCTTTGTCCGCGTGGTAGGATGGAGGTCGTCTTCACGCCACGCTGCAGTTCAGCTAGTGGTCTAAAGGGACCGGCTGTGAATTTGACCTCGTCTGCTTCCACGCCGTAGGAAGGAGATAGAGTTCGCGCTCCGCTGCAGCTCAGCGAGCCGTCTGAACTGCCGTGGGTCGTGAACTCGACTTCGTTTTCGTCCGCGTTGTTGGAATGAGGTCGTGTTCGCGCCCCGCTGCAGTTCATTGAGCGGTTCGAATATGCGGGTCGTAAAACACGATCTCATTTCCGTTCTCGGCAGATGCCAATCGCTCGGGAACTCGACTAACATTGCTTCTGGTCTCGAAAGCCTCGTGGGTGTCCTCCTGGGTGCTCCTTGGGACGTTTCGGGGCCCTCTTGACGTCTCGGGGCCCTTCGACGAGGAGAATCACATGCAGGACGAGGTAAGTCCCTGTGTGGGGGGTACCACATCTATATGCATGTATGTATGTATGTATGTATGTATGTATGTATGTATGTAATGCATGTATGTATGTATGTATGTATGTATGTAGGTGTGTAACTATGTGTGTAGGCAGGTCAGTAGGCGGGCAGACAGGCAGGTCGGCAGATATGTAGGCATGCATGTATGTATACATGTATGCATGCATGCATGCATACACGTATGTATGTATGTATGTTTGTATGCATTGCATTGTAATGTAATGTGATGTCATGTATTGTAATGTAATTTAGGTATGCACGTATGTATGTGTGTATGTGTGTGCATATGCATGTATGTATATGTATATATATATATGTGTATATATATTTGTATGCATGTATATATGTATATATATATATATATATATATAGATACGGATGTTTCTATGTAAGTATGTGTACATGTATGTATGACTTACTGTGTAGAGAGGTGCGATATATACCTATATTTACATATTTGCACAGCAGAGAGTGGTAACAACAACCAGATATAGAGCAAGCGAGATCGTGATATATACATATACATAGTTACAGAGAGTGAGAGAAAGAGAGAAACAACCGTATATATACGTACGCACAACGAGAGGGAGAGAGAGAGAGAGAGAGAGAGACAAAGAGAGAAAGAGAGAGAGAGAGAGAACAATAATGTTAGCAAGCGTGGACCCCAAACGCTTGCTTCTTGCAGTCTATGCGGTGCAGTCTATTCGGTGCAATGTATGCGATGCAACCTGTGTAATGCAAAATATGCGGTGCTATCTATGCAGTGCAGTCTATGTTGTGCAGTCTACGCGGTGCATCCGATGTACTTCAATCTATGCGGTGCAATCCATGTGATGCAATCTATTTGGTGCGATCTACGCGGTACAGCCTATCCAATGCAGCCTAGGCGGTGCAATCTTCGTGGTGCAATCTGCGCGGTGCAACCTATGGTAATGCAGCATATGCGGTGCAACCTATGTAATGCAACCTATGCGGTGCAATCTATGTGGTCCAACCTATGTGGTGAAATTCATTTCTGTTCGCAGTGAGTTGTCAACTCCGCTGCTCGCGCAATCATCCCACCCACCCATCCGCAACATGGTTTGCAAAACACATGTGGTGGCGATTGCGATGAGTGCTTGGCGTTGGCTGGTCCATCTCTGCGGCCACGCCAACCCAGGCACGCGCGCGCAGCGGCCTGCTAGTTCGGCGCGACCGGCGCGGCCGCGATGGCGCTGACCGCTGGGCACATCCCTGCGCGCAGTTCAGTGCGAGTCGGCAACTTGGGCGGGCGCGGCATCATGGCAACGTCGACAACGGTAGACACGATGCTAACCATAGCGATGCTGGTGACGATGTTTGACAACGACGACGGCGCGGCCAGTGCGGGCGCCGATGATGATCACGCCGACGGTGATGACGGCGTCCTCGCGTCGGTGAGGAAGGTCTGGGAAAGAGTTCGACATGCGCGCGCGGCCGACGCGCGAGAATTGCCCGCAGGGTTCTCTTTGACACAGATCGTGCCGCCCCCTTCCCGCACGGGCGCAAGGGCGTGCGAATGATTTCGGCATGTGGCGCGAGATTCCCGTTTGGCATAGTTCCACGAGGACGTTGAATAACCGATGGTTTCCGCAAGAACTCGCAAGAGCGCGCGCAACATATTTTTTGTTTTTTGTTGCTGTTTTGTTTTGTCTTTTGGTTATACATAAGAAGTATTTCCAAAACCGTTTTCGTTGAACCAAGTCGTTGTAATTTGTAGTTATATATGTGTTTTAGTTAGTACACACACAGTCAAATCTCAGTGCGTGTATATGCATATGTATGTATGTATGTATAGATAAGTAGATGTACATATTTACATGTACATATGCACATATCTATATGCATGGCAAATTGTTTCAATCACCGGTACAGAGAACTGATGTTGCGAAGCCATGTGTTTCTGTATGTACTTTGGGCACTCGGTTTCGACATCGTTACGCAACCGACGGTTTTTGCCGTATTTCGGCATGCGCGCGCGGCGACGCGCGCGCGTGCACTCCGTTTCACTTTGTGCAAATAGGTTCTCTCGACGGCACGCGCGCATGGGTGTTCGAACGATTTAGACATGCGCGCGCACGAAGCCCGTGTGGTAGAATTTTCTTGAAATTGTGACAATGGTTTTCTTAAGAATTCGTTTTGGAACATCCATGTTGCAAAACCATGTGTGTTCCCCACATCCAAAGTGGGGTTCTCTCCTCTTCCTCTTCGTCCCCCCCCTCTTTCTCTCTTCTCCCTTTGTTCACTCATTCAACCAGTCATACGCACCATCACCACCCACACTCACCCACTCATCCTTTCATTCACACTATCATCACCATCGTCGTCATGATTCGCACATTCATTCACTCACATACTCGTCATCATCACTCACTCACTCGCCCACTCACTCTCTTCACCCACCTACCCACCCGAGTGGGAGCCTCGTCGGTGAGTGACTTGCGAGAAAGTCTCATGCGGGAACCCCCTCCCTATGGGGCCCGCGGCCCATGTGAGTCATCCGAACGGGTCAAGTTTGAGTATGGCGGAAGTCTCAGGCGGGAGCTTCGTCAGTGAGTGATTTGCGAGGAAGTCTCAGGCGGTAGCCCCACTCCCTAGGGGGCCCGCAGCTCATGTGAGTAATCCGAGCGGTTCATCGGAATCTTGTAACGGTCGTCACTTTTTGCTTCTTCAAGCTTGAGTATGGCGGAAGTCTCTGGCGGGAACCTCGTCTGTAAGTGACTTGCGAGGAAATCTCAGGCGGGACCCGCCTCCCTATGGGACCCGCAGCTCATGTGAGTCATCCGAACGGGTCATCGGAATCTTGTAAAGGTCGTCGCTTCTTGCTTTTGCAAGCTAAAGTACGGCGGAAGTCTCCAGCAGGAGCTTCGTTTGTGAGTGAATTGTGAGCAAGTCTCAGGCGGGAACCCCTTCCCTATGGGGCCCGCAGCTCATGTGAGTAATCCGAACGGGTCATCGGAGTCTTGTAACTGTCATCGTTTTTGGCTTCTTCAAGCTTGAGTACGGCGGGAATCTCAGGCGGGAGCCTCGTCTGTAAGTGACTTGCGAGGAAATCTCAGGCGGGACCCCCTCCCTGTGGGACCCGCAGCTCATGTGAGTCATCCGAACGGGTCATCGGAATCTTGTAACGGTCGTCACTTTTTGCTTCTTCAAGCTAAAGCATGGCGGAAGTCTCCAGCGGGAGCTTCGTTTGTGAGTGAAGTGTGAGCAAGTCTCAGGCGGGAGCCCCTTCCCTACGGGGCCCGCAGCTCATGTGAGTAACCCGAACGGGTCATCGGAGTCTTGTAGCTGTCGTCGTTTTTGGCTTCTTCAAGCTTGAGTACGGCGGAAGTCTCAGGCGGGAGCCTCGGCTGTGAGTGAATTGCGAGGAAGTCTCAGGCCGGAGCCCTCTCGGGCCACCCCTCCTTATGTGGCTTGCATTTCGTGTTGGTAATCCGAGTGTTGTATGCCGAGCTGGTCGTCGGCAGACTTGTTCCTGTCATGGGCCCGATTGCCCGACATGTGGAATTCCCAGGGTTCCGAAATAAGCCAGGACAGAAGGGCGACTGAGGAGCTGGCTGGCCGATGCGGCGACGGCGCCGAGGAAAACCGACGCTCGCACTCCTGCCAGGAGGAAGGACAGGTGCACGAGGAAAACAGGCGGGGCGGAGATAAGAAGGGGGAGAAGGAGGGGAGGTGAAGGAGGAGGAAGAAAAGGACGAACAGGAGGAAACATACGAGGAGGATGGGGGAGGGAGAGGAGGCGGAGGACGAGGATGAAAAGGAAGAGAAGGAGGAGGCGGAAGAGGAAGAGGATAAGACATGCAACGAGTAGGACGATAATGAACAGGAGGAGGAAAAGGATGAGAAGGTGGAGGGGATGAGGAGGAGGAGGAGGAAGAAGAGGAGGAGGAGGAGGAGGAGGAGGGGTATGAGGAGGAGGAGGAGGAGGAGGATGAGGAGGAGGAGGAGGAGGAGGAGGAAGAAGAGGAGGCCTCCGCCAGTCGAAGAAAAAATGCTCGAGGGTAAATCTAAATATAATCTCGTGTGGGGTCCTACCGTCGGGGTAATTTGTGTGTATGTTTTTTGGACGCTCGGTTGCGGAATCTTTACGATTCCGAAGGTTTTTGAAGAATTTCGGCATGCGCGCGCGACGAAGCGCGCGCGCACTTCGTCTCATTTTTGCAAGGAATTCTTGACAACTTATGGTTTTTGATATACGAGTGCGCGCGTGTTTTTTTGCAGAGGATGGCGGGGGGGGGGGGGGGGCGATACCAGCCCCCCTGGGATGATGTAGATTCACATTTAGGGTGGACGATGGGGCAGAGTCACATGTAAATTGCAATACGCCAAGGGGATGGGATAATGGGGGGTGGGGCATCGAGTCTGTTGTTTTTTGGAAAGGAGAATCTGTGCGACGGCGACGGCGGCGACGGGCGGCACCGCCCGCAAAAACCGCCACTCGCCCCGAGAGGCGGCGACGGTGACGGCGCCGACGGCGGCGACGGGCGACACCGCCCACAAAAGCAGCCACTCGCCCCGAGCGGCGGCGACGGCGACGACGGCGACGGCGGCTGCGACGGCGACGGCGGCTACGGACGGCACCGCCCGCAAAAGCCGCCACTCACCCTGAGATGGTTAAGCCAAGTGAGAACCCCTCAACGCAAGCATTTTTTGGAGATAAAACAGGATAAACAGGGCGTGCGGAGGTGAGCGCCGAGGAATCCGCCGAGGAATCGCGTCTAAGTATGGGCGATTCCTCCAGCCCAGAGACGAACAAGAAGGACTGTCGAGTCACACTTCTGAGGCGCGGTGGACCGGAATGCGGCCGCCATCACTTCTGACCCTTGCTCCCCCTGCCCCTTCAGATCCGCCTTCGCTGCTGGCTCCCTCCTCCAGGAGGGCGGGAAAAACCAGAAGGAACAGGAGAAGCAGGCGGAGGAAGAAGAAGAGCAGGAGGAGATGGAGGGCAGGAAGAGGCAGAGGATGGCAGGAGGAGGAGGAGGGCAGGAGGCGGAGGAGGCGGAGGAGGCGGAGGAGGAGAAGAGGAGGAGGAGGAGGAGGAGGAGGAGGAGGAGGAATAGGAACTTTGTGGAGGAATGCTGAGGAAGACGAGGAAATCAAAGAACAAATATCGGCATCAACACATGCTCCAGAGCTCCACACGGATTTCTCGGATCGGCGTTTGGCCCTTTCCCTGTCGCGCGCAGCGCGCCAGGGGCCGCGCCGGAGGTGCCGCCAGGGTGTGGGGCCCAGCCCAGCGCCCATCCAAGAAATCCGCTCGGAGCTTCGACATTTTCTGTTTACGCTGTTCATTGTTTTTCCAGGGGGAGGGAGGGAGGGAGGGAGGGAGGGAGGAGGGAGGGAGAGGGAGGGGGAGGGGGAGGGGGAGGGGGAGGAGGAGGAGGAGGAGGAGGAGGAGGAGGAGGAGGAGGAGGAGGAGGAGGAGGAGGAGGAGGAGGAGGAGGAGGAGGAGGAGGCACGACCATTGCGCCTCCCAGAAGAGCTGAGGCTCGACCATCTTGACGTTCCACAGCGCCAGGGACCCTTGGCGCCCTCGCCCGAGCCCGAAAGCCCCCGAGGCGCAGCCACCTTGGCGCTCCCCGTCGCCAGGCGTAGTCCTGCGCCCCGTCTTGGGGTGCAGGCCGGGCTCCGCGCGCCTGATCACAGACTTCTGATTGGCTGAAGTGGACGGGACCGTGCCGGGGCCCCTGCACGCCACAGAAAGATTTTGCGGAGAGAGCCCGCAGTGCCGTGCGAGCTACACCTCCGACGCACGAACACCGGGCCAGCCAAGAACGGGTCATGACCGAGGTTCCTGAAAGGCAAGAGAGGGTCGGAGGCAGGGTCGGAGAGGGGGGGGCCAAGGGGGGAAGGCCATCTGGGGACTCCACATCCTCCTGGGCCAGGACCCCGGCCAGCCCAACAGCAACACTCACAGCCTCGCTTCGCACCACTGTGAAGGATTGTCCATGCAAACGAAACCACTCAGCCGTGGCAGCTGCTTGGACGGGTGTGGGTCCGCACTCCCTGGTGGCACGATTGGTGAGCAGGGCCTTGAGGGATGCGTCGTTGCGGGCAACACGGCCACACATCTTGCACCTCCACTCGCCTCTGTCATCATTCCTATACATAATATGACTGGTGATTTGGACCTTGGGAACGGCAACATGGCTCGGGGCCAAAATAGGTTTAGCAGGCAGATCACCAGTCTATTCACCACTCTGAGCCATCTTCTGTGCGGCCCAGACGATGAATCTGATAGTAGGATTGTGGTATCTAAACTCTCCTGCCAAGGCCTTAACGAACCCCTCAGAAAAAAAAAGCGTGGGATGCCGAACCGATTTTAGCCAAAAATCCGCCCAGAGATTCCGAGCCCAACGGTAAACGCACAGCCCTTTTTCAATCACGTCATCGAGTGAAAGGTGAGCAGGCTGCCAGCAAAATTGGGGCTTTCTCGCGAATTCGAAATGCATCAGCCCATATAGCGGCGTGCTTGGCAGCGCCGCTTGCAGAGTCCTTGTTCCACTGGTTACCTTCACGCATTGTGGCTTGGAGGTCGGAACTGATACGCGACAGCGTATGATGAACACAGCACGCTTGCCTGACAGCCCACCTCTCGGCTCGCCCGATCGTCTGAAACTGGCCAGGAAGCGCACCGTACACGGCACGGCACAGCAGGAGCGAGGGCAGGATTTGGACCGCGGCCCATCCTGCACGCGAAACTTCAGGTAAATTGGACTGTCGGCAGCTGCCGTCTACAAACACATCAGGCCCCACAACTTTTTAACGTCCCCCCACTCGCCAACAACAGGATTAAGTTGGGGGGCCTCAATGTGCATGGTCCTTGGAAATGAAGGAAGCCCATTGGTAGAATACGTGGTGTCGACCTGCGGTTGCGCAGTGATGTCGAGGCTGGCCTGAAGAAGGGCCTGCCTGTGACCAAGAAATAATTCAGGCACAGGATCTCCGAAAGGGTCATGGTCTTCATCAATCATCCCTCTGCGCTGGTACCAGATGTGACCATAAGTGCAATTGTCTTGAAGGCATACTCGACAGTGAGGCTCTACTAAATACCCCTGGGCCGCGCGAGCGGCTGGGAGGGGAAAGAAGTTGGCTCAGACCGCAGACAGCGCTCCAAGCTGCTTCGGGCACGCGACGCTGCGCAGCCCGTTCCTGAGAGCACGGTGCCAGATGACCTTATTGCCGTCGGACGTGGGCATGTGGCGCAGCAGCCTGCCGTGCTGCCACCGCTCGATGCCCCTGATGAGGTGGAGCTTGACGTCATACGGGCACCACTTGAGCAGGCTGATGTGGGTGCCCTCGTCGTCCACGTAGGTGTGTGCGTTGGCCATGGTCCAGCCAATGCGTATGAGCGACAACCATGGACAGAAAATGGGCCCTCTAGCACTCTGCCATGTCGGGGTGGACTGCATAATATGTGCGAGCTGAGCCCACGGGCGCTGGAGCTTCCCCAACGAAAGGTCGCGTATCTGACCGTGATGCCGAGCGTGCAGCCAAATATGGGATCGTATCTCGCATCTGGGTTGGCGATGAGGTAGGCGGTGGCTCCACCATGCGGTTTGCCTCCGGCAAGCACTGAGGCGAAATTGCGAAAATATCAGAGGGCCGTGTCCGACCCCCCCGCCACACCAGCTCCATGGCCAGCCGTAGGTAGAGCACCTGTCCTCCACAGCTAGGAGGTGCGACGGCCAGTGGCACACTTGAGGGCAAAGTACTTCCTCTTGCGTTGCTGGAGGGCTTTGGCTCTGGCCTTCTCCTGGCAGCGTCTGACCTTCATAGCAGAAAGCTCATGGCCTAAATTGCGCATCCAAGGTCTGAACTGCAATGCTAGACGTTTGGCATTCTTGGCGAAAAGGATCCTGGAGCGCGCAGTGCCAGTGACGATGCCATACTTCTTAGGCTGGGTGTGGAGCCCCAAACCTTTGGCATCGTAAGGAAACATTCGCAGGGCCTTCTCCAGCAAACTAATGTCGGCCTTGTCGTTAGTGGCGAGTTAGATGGAAACGTCATCTACTAGTGCCGTTGGCGCAATGCATGGGGCCACGACGCTAGGCCGCTTCACGGCTCTGAGCGTGAGGAGGTGCAGTACCCCAGTAGCATGCGAGCAGGAGGAGGAGGAGGAGGAGGATGCGGAGGAGGAGGAGGAGGAGGAGGAGGATGCGGAGGAGGAGGAGGAGGAGGAGGAGGAGGAGGAGGAGGAGGAGGAGGAGGAGGAGGAGGAGGAGGAGGAGGAGCGTGCCCACCTGCCTTGCTAGGCGGCCCCGGCCCGCGGCACGCCCGAGGATCCCCTGGAGCCGCGGGGCGAGCTGACGGCCGCCGACATTGCGCGCGCGGAGTGCCCGCCGGGGGGGCGGGCCCACGGTCGCTGCCCTGGAGGGGGACCCCGACCCCGTCGAGTGGTGAACGAAGCCGCGACGAAATGCTTTTGGCGATTTTCGGCCTCTCGGGTCCCTCGCGTTGTGAAGACGTGGGGGGTCTGGGAAGGGAGGGGCGGCGAGGAAGGAAGGAATGAAGCAGATGGATGCGGAGGTGGAGGGGGAGGAGGACAATTGAGGACGCGTATAGGGATGCGGAGGAGGAGGAGGAGGAGGAGGAGGAGGAGGAGGAGGAGGAGGAGGAGGAGGAGGAGGAGGAGGAGGAGGAGGAGGAGGAGGAGGAGGATGATTTTTTGAACTCAACAATCCACCTCAAGTCGGCCCTCCACCACGAACGCACGACGAGGCCGATGCCGTCGAAATAATGTCATACGAAACAGATTGACCACACCCAACGGCCAGAACCAGATTACCGCGTACAAGCCCTCGAGCAGCCACATACAATACCAGGAAGCCCGTAGCCACGTACAGCATCAGGAAGCTCCCTGAACAAGGAACAACAAGCTGCAGGACGAGATGAACCGCTGCAGGCACGGGATGGGGAATTTCGCTCGTATATCACACCTAGTCGAAGACATCATCAAACGACGAGACAACACTGACACGATCGAGGCCCGAAAGATCGCAGCGGCCACCATGCAACCTTTGGATAAGCAGGCCTTCTCTGGGGACATGTGGCAGTCCCGTCGGTGTCCATGAGCTGCTGGGTCCAACTGGCTCCGAATCGGCCACGGAGCCTCCCACGCTCAAAGAATCAGCAGCTCCCGCCTGCGTGTGGCTCCTGGCACTGCCGCGCCGGCCGGCAGGAGCTTCAGCGCGGACCGCGCCGCCAGCTCCCTGTCTTGCCAGGAGCTTGGCTCGCCGACGCAAGCACGGGCGCACAACGCAGCATCAAGAGCATCCCGAAGGCGCCGACGAGCAGCGCGACGAGCCGCCGTCGGAGTGCGAGTGCGAGTGCGAGTGCGTGTGCGCGTGCGTGTGCGAGTGCGTGTACGTGTTTGTGTTTGTGTTTGTGTGCGTGTGCGTGTGCGTGTACGCGTACGTGTACGTGTACGTTCACGTGCGTGCGTACGTGCGCGTGTGTTTGTGCGCGCGTGTGTGTGTTGTTCGTTCGCCGCGGCGGGCGTGCAGCACCAGCGTCCGCCTCCACCGCCGTAGTTGGCAGCGCAGGAGCGAGGAAGGCCAGCGCCGTGTGGCCCTGCGAAGGGGACGGCGGCCGGGCCCGGCGCCGCCGCCCGCAGGACAGGGACCTGGCGGCCGCGTGGATCGCCATGTTCGAGGGGCTCAATAACGATCGCTCTCTCTGCGTGGCGCCGCCCCCCTGCAGGAGGAGGAGGAGGAGGAGGAGGAGGAGGAGGAGGAGGAGGAGGAGGACCAGTGTAAGCCCAAGAGTCACCAACGATGCTGGAATAAACCCTCCCCCAAGCTCCCTCTTCATATGCCCTACAACGGTTCACTTCCACCGAGGGACCTGCCTCGTTGGAAGACAACCGTTTGAAGACCCGGAAGCATGCCGACATATTTTTCTCGGTTTTTCAACGCCACGGATGAACCTGACTGTTGCGTCTTGACGATCCTAAATCGTGCCAGAACGCCACTCTTGGGACCTCAACTCCGTGAATCACCGTACGTAGCTTCTGCGCCCTCACAATCGTGAATCCTTTCGAAACGCCATTTCTGGAACGTCGATCATGGGAATCCGTGAAACTTTTGCAAATTTGTATCAAGAATGTGCGTGGCGCTAAGGTGAAAGCCACATTTTGAAAAGGAATCGCCGTCAATCCGTGAAGCCCTTGCAAATTTTCAAAACGAATTTGCGCGGCGCTAAGGCGAGAGCCACATTTTGCAAACGACCAGCCCTGAATCCGTGACAGTCTCTGTGCAATTTTTTGAAACGAATGTGCGCGGCGCCAAGGCGAGAGCCACATTTTGAAAACGACCCGCCCTCAATCCGTGAAACTCCTGTTGCAAATTCTGAAAGCGAATCTGCGCGGCGCCAAGGCGAGAGCCACATTTTGGAAACGACCGGCCCTCAATCCGTGAAGCTCTTGTTCCAAATTTTAAAACGAATGTGTGCGGTTCCAAGGCGAGAGCCACATTTTGAAAACCACCCGCCCTCAATCCGTAAAATTCTTGCAACCTTTAAAATCGATTGTGCGCGGCGCTAAGGTGAGAGTCACATCTTGAAAACCACCCGCCCTCAATCCGTGAAGCCCTTGCAAATTTTCAAAACGATTTTGCGCGGCACTAAGGCGAGAGCCACATTTTGAAAACGACCCGCCCTCAATACGGGATGCTCTTGCTGCAATTTTTTCAAGCGCATGTGCGCGGCGCCAAGGCGAGAGCCACATTTTGAAAACGACCCGGCCTCAATCCGTGAAACTCTTGTTGCAAATTTTGAAACGAATGTGCGCGGCGCCAAGGCGAGAGCAATATTCTGAAAACCGCCCGCCCTCCATCTGTGAAGCTGTTGCCAATTCTTAAGCTTCAGGGTCATAAATGGTGAGGAAATCTCAGGTGAAACGCCCGGCCCGCCCGAAAAATTGGCTTCGGGGTGCGACAGGGAAGAGTTATTTATAAAGAGAAGGAGTGGAGGAGGAGGAGGAGGAGGAGAAGGAGGAGGAGGAGGAACGTGAACGGCGCCGCCTCGCCGTCGGCTGTCCTGACGACTCGTGGTAGCAGACGGAGAAATAGCTGGTAGCGCCAGGAGTATTCCCATGTTGTGATGTCAAACACGAGGTTCCACGAAAGAGGTCCAGAAGGTGGGGATGCTGTAGCCGGGTGGTGACCGGGTGGTGGCTGGTGGCCGCCGTGTGGGGGGTCAAGGTGGGGTCTGGACCAGAAATTGTGGAGTCGGGGCAAGAAGTGAGGTTCAGTAGGTGGGGTGCCCGGGCTAGGTGGGAACCATGTGATGGCCAGGCGGGAGCAGGGTGGGACCTGAGCCTGAAGGTCTGGAGTGGGGAGTTCCCAGAACAGAGGTCAAGAAGATGGGGGTTTTGGGGCCAGGTGGTTGCCCGGTGGTGGCAGTGGCGGGGGGTCAGGGTGGGATCTGGGCCAGAAATGACGAAGCGAGGTCCAGAAGGTGGAGTTTCCGGGGCCAGGTGGTGACCGGTTGGTGGCCAGGTGGGGGGTCAGGGTGGGATTTGGGCGCGACATTTTGTGGAGTGTGGGGTTCCAAGAACAGAGGTCCAGAAGGGGGGGGTGCTGTGGCCAGGCGGTGACCAGGTGGTGGTGGACGGTCAGGGTGAGATCTGGGCGAGAAATTGTGGAGGGGGGGCTTCACGAGCAGTGGTCTAGAAGGTGGGGGTTCCAGGGTCAGGTGGTGGTGGCCAGGTTGTGACCGGGGGGGGGTGTCAGGGTGGGATCTGGATAGAAATTTTGGAGTGGGTGTTCCAAGAAAGGTGGGGGTGCCAGGGCCTGGTGGTGACCGCGTGGTTGGTCAGGGTGGGATCAGGGCCAGGAATTGTGAAGTGAGGGTTTCCAGAAACAGAGGTCTGGAAAGGTTGCGGTGCCGGGGCCAGGTGGTGACCAGGTGGTGGCCAGGTGGGGGTTCAGGTTGGGATTTGGGAGAACAGAGGTCCAGAAGGTGTGAGGTCAGGATTGGATCTGGGCCAGAAGTTTCGAAGTGGGGGGGGCTCCAAGAACAGAGGTCAAGAAGGTGGGGATGCCAGGGCCAGGTTGTGTTCAGGTGGTGGCCAGGTGGGGCGTCAGGGTGGGATCTGGGCGAGAAATTGTGGATCGGGGGTTTCCAAGAGCAGAGGTCTAGAAGGTGGGAGTGCGGGGGCCAGGCGGTGGCAGGGCCAGGTGGGGTGTCAGGGTGGGATCTGGGCCAGATTGGAATGAGGGGTTCTACGAACAGAAGTCTAGACGGTGGGGATGCTGGGGCCAGGTGATGACTAGGTGGTGGCCAAGTGGTGCTGGATGCGGTGTCACGGTGGGACCCGGGCAAGAAATTGTGCGATGGGGGTGCCAAGAACAGAGGCATAGAAGGTGGGGATGCCAGACCATGGTGGGGTCTGGGCCAGAGCTCGTAGAGTGGGGGATTCAAAGAACATAGGTAAAGAAGGTGGGGATGCCGGGGCCAGGTGGTGACCGGGTGGTGGCCATGTGGGGGGTCAGTGGGGGACCTGGCCCAGAAATTGTGGAGTGAGCGGTTCCAAGAGCAGAGGTCTAGAAGGTGGGCGTGCCGGGGCGAGGTGGTGATCAGGCTTATGGTGGCCATGTTGGGTCTGGGCCCAAAATGAACGGTGGGGGGTTCCACGAGAAGAGGTCCAGAACCTAGGGGTGCTGGGGCGAGGTGGTGACTAGGTGATGGCCAAGTGGTGGCCAGGTGGTGGCCAGGCGGGGGGTCAGGGTGGGATCTGGGCCAGAAATTGTGGAGTTTGGGCTCCAAAAGCAGAGGTCCAGAATGTAGGGATGCTGGGACCAAGTGGTTGCCAGGTGGTTGCCAGGTGGTGGCCAGGTGGAGGGTCAGGATGGGGTCTGGGCCAGACATCGGGGAGTAAGGAGTTTCAAGAACAGAGGCCCAGAGAGTGGAGATGCTGCCTGTCCAGGTGGTGGCCATATGGTGGCCAGGTGGGGGTCGAGGGCGGGATCTGGGCCTGAAGTTGTGGAGTTGGGGGTTCCAACAACAGAAGTCTGTAGGTGAGGGTGCCAGGGCCAGTCAGTGACCAGGTAGTGGCCAGGTGGGGGGTCAGGGTGGGATCTTCTAGGAACAGAGGTCCAGAAGGTGGGGGTGCCGGGTCCAGGTGGTGACCGGGTGCTGTTCAGACGGTGACCAGGTGGTGGCCAGGCGGGGTGTCGGGGAGGGATTTGGGCCAGAAGTGGTGGAGTGGGGGATGCCAAGAACACAGGTCCAGAAGGTGCGGATGCTGGGGCGAGGTGGTGACCAGGTGGTTGCCAGGTGGGGTGTCAGGGTGGGATCTGGGCCAGAAATTGTGGAGTGAGGGTATCCGAGAGCAGGGGTCCATAGCCCCCTCGCCCCCGCCCCTCAGGCATTCCGCAATGACAAGCTCGCCACCAAGGCGAAGCGGGCGTGGCGAAACTGGGGCAAGGCCCTTCGGCGCTGCTGCACCTCTCTGGCCGCCCCCCCCAGCTGCCGCAGCCCGCCGCTGGCTGCAGCCCGCCGTTGCCGCATCCCGCATCCCTCGCCGCCGCTGCCGCCGCTGACAACGGTCGCGGCATCGCCAGGCCCGCCCGCAGCCGCTGCCCTCTCGGCGCTGGCGCTGCCAGACCACGCCTTCTGTGTTGGCACCGTGGGGCGTTCTGCGATCCCTGGCGGCCGCGGGGGGTCCAGGACGGGGCGGGCTCCGCAGGCTGCACAGGGTCCCAAGAGAGCCCCAAAGGTGGCCCTGGGAAGCCCCCCCCGTCCCCCCCTCATCCAGGAGGCTTCGCTGGGCGAGGGGGCCAGTCTTCGGCGTGGGACCGAAGGGGATGAGGGCGGCTTCGGAGGCCTAAAGGTTGGCATTGCTACCAATGTCGGCGGTGTGTTTCCACCGAGGGAAGATGATCACGATCTCGGTGATAGTGGTAACACTCGGCACCAACACCAATATCTAGGATCATTGCCCCCCCGGTGGACGCACCCCCATGCTTTTGGTTTTTATGCCCACCTCCAAGCCCACAGTTGCTGGACGGGCAAGGGATGTAAACCGCCTGCGCCGAGAGGTCCAGTGGGATTCAGGCCGCCCCGTTCTCTGGAAGCCGCCCTCTGTGGAAACCCTTCCCGGCGGCATGCCCGCGGACGTGCCCCGGTGCGGCTTCTTGCAGCGGTGCAGCGCGGCCGTGACGAGCGCGGCTCCTCCTGGAGCCGGGGGGGCCCAGTTCCGCTTGGCCCTCGCCAGCGCCCCCTGCCTGCCCGTCGGCCCGCGCGGTCGGCCGCTCGCCTAGAGCGCGGCTCTTCGAGAAGGGGTCTCGGGGTTCATCACAGGATCGGCGGCGAGCCCAGGGGGGAAGTGAGAAGGGCCGGGCCTCCTCAGCAGGCTCGGAAGTCCCCCGGCCCTCATTGAGAGGTTTTCTGAAACTTTCCCTGGAGAGACAGAAGACTTCGCAGAGGGCCTGAGGGCTGCCGAGAAGTCCCGCCGCCTTCTGAGAAGGCCTTCTCCTTCTCATTTCCCACCCTCGCTCGCCGCCGAGAGGAGCAAGAAATCATAGTATTCCGGATTCCATAATAAAGTGGTGGGGGGTCATATTTTTGGGGGGTCTGATTGGAGCTGTCTTGGAGGGTTCCAGTGGAGAAAAGTGGTTCTTCAGGAAAAGGGCTGGTTTCCCAGGGGATCGGGTGGTTCTCTGGGTGAATGGAGTTAGCGCCGTGTCGGTTGGTTCTCCGGGTGAGACCCTTACAGGTGCTCTACGGGGAACGGTTTCCTAAGTCCTCCTCCTCCTCTTCCTCCTTCTCCTTCTGAGAGCCTCATGCGCCCTGAAACCTCACATACACAATCATGACATGCACATGAACCTTAGAGACGCAATATTGACGCACACACACACTCAAACCTTAGAGACACAACACTGACACGCACTTAGGCCTGAGACACAGTCATGGCACGCACTTAAGCCTTATATACACAACATTGGCACGTACTTGAAACCTTAGAGTCACACACCCGGCACGCACTTAAACCTTAGAGACACACTCCTGACACGCACTTAAAGCTTAGATACACAATCCTGACACGCGCTTAAAGCTTAGAGACACAATCCCGACACGCACTTAAACCTTAGAGACACATTGCTGACACGCACATAAAACTCAGAGACACAAGCCAGACACGCACTTGAAGCTTAGAGACACAATCCCGACACGCACTCAAACCTTAGAGACACATTGCTGACACGCACATAAAACTTAGAGACACAAGCCAGACACACACTTAAAGCTTAGAGACACAATCCCGACACGCACTTAAACCTTAGGAGACACAAACCTGACACGCACTTCCTCCTGACACTATCCTGGCACGCCCTCACTTTATGGACACACTATTAACAGACGCTTAAACCTTCGAGGCACAACCATGACACGCAATTACTCCTTGGAGGCGCAATCCTGACACGCACTTCATGAGAGACAATCCTGACACGCACTGAAACCTTAGAGACAGAGGCACGATGCGCATTAAAACCTTCATAGGTCTCCTGTGGGCCGTCTTTGAGCTGTCTTGGGAACCCCCATGGGAACCGCGACAAGCCCCGGTAGATAGTTTCCTATGGTCTTACGGGGCGTCTAGGGTGATGCGATGATGCTGTGCTGACAATGGTGGTGATGGTGACAGCGATGATGTCGATGAAAGCGAGTGGGAGGCTTTTTGGGGTGTCTAGGGGGCATCTTGGGCCGTCTGGAGGCCATCTTGGGCGTCTTGGGACGATCTTTCAGCGACTCGGGGCCTTCTTGGACCGTCTTGGGCGCGTCTTGGGGCCCTCTTCGCTCGTCGGTGGGGCCGGACCACATCATATTTATTTGCCTTCGGCCTATCCAGCCGCCGTGCCTGGGTTGTAAATCAGAGTCCTCAGGGATGCTCCGTGGGGTCTCTCGGAGCGTTCTTTGGGGCTTCTGGTGTGGGGGGTAGTTGTGGGGCCTCTGGGAGGCCTTTGGGCGTTCCCTGGGGCCTGTTGGGGGCCTCTCGGACTTTTTTGGGGCCTCTTGGGAGGCTCCTGGGGGCCGAGAATTCAAAATGTCCGTTCGGGTCTGCCGTCTGGGTCTCCGCGTGGAGGCGTCTCAAGGACCTGGCTGACCGTCTTGGAGGCCCCTTAGGCGGTCTTGGGGTCCTCGTGGGTCGTTGCGGGGCCCTCGTGGAGGCCTCTTGGGTCGTCTTGGCTGTCTTGAAGTGTCGGGAAGGCGAAAAGGCGGGATTCATGATTTTGATACTTTGGGCCTTATTGGGAGGATTTTTGGATGCCTCTTGGGGCGTCGTGGGGGCATCTTGGGCCGTCTGGAGGCAATCTCGGGCATCTTGGAATGATCTTCTGGCAACTTGGGTCTCTCCTGAAACATCTCGGGGGCCTCTCGGGGCCCTCTTGGCCCGTTTGGGGACCCTGCATGCCCCCATGGTGCGTTCGTCCCGTGGTCGTCCTGGGCCAGGGGGTCAAATTCCCGGTTTGGGGTCCTGGGGGCGATAATCGGGGGGGGGAACCGTCTCACACGCCTGGAGACCCCCACAAGGGGTCGGCGGATGAGGGCCAGCCCCGGGGAGACCAAATCTCTATATCGGGCTCCGCGCTGCACTTCGGATATGCGTTGGTGGATTAAAAAAAGGCCCGTTTCGCCGGAGACATCCTCAACAAATCGGTCCCGGAGGGGACTCCGAATCGACATCGTCTCGGAATCGCTCCCGGAGGGCTTTCGAACGGCCCAAAAGACACCCAGGAGGGTCCCAAGAGCGCCCAAGAGCGCCCCAAGAAGATCCCAGGAGACCCCCAAGAGCGCTCCAGGAGGCACCCAGACAGCTTACAAGAACCCCAAGACGGCCCAAGAGGGGCCAAGAGTGCCCCAAGAGACTCCCAGGAACGCCCCTGCACAAGAAAGCCCAAAGACGGCCCAAGTTGGCGCCGAGACGGCCCAAGAAAGTTCCCAAAGAACCTCACGACGCGCCCAGACAGCCCAAGAAGACCCCAGAAGCCCACAAGAGGACCCAAGAGGCCCCCAAGAAGCCCCCAACAGGCCCCAAGACAACCTCGCGTGGCGCCAGGAGCCCCCAGGGGTAAACCGATAGGGTTGCCATGACCCTCTCCTGGTTCAACGTCCTTCTGCAATTGCCTCTGACTGTCCTTTGTCCTTTGTCCTCGTCCTCGTCCTCGTCGTCGTCGTCGTCGTCGTCGTCGTCGTCGTCGTCGTCGTCGTCGGCGTCATCGTCCTTCGCATTCCTTCTCGTACTCGCCCTCGTTCCCTTCGTCCTCGTCCTCGTGCTCGGCTCAAGTGTTTCGGCTCCGCGTGCAGGCGCGCGGCCCCCCGCTCGCTCGCGGCCTCCGCGGCCCGCGCGCCAGGGGGGCGGCTGGGCTGCGGCCCGGGCCGCGCAGGGTTCCCTGGACGTCTTCGCGGAGGAGGAGGAGGAGGGGGAGGAGGAGGAGGAGGAGGAGGAGGAGGAGGAGGGAGGAGGAGGAAACGGAGGAGGAGGAGGAGGAAACGGAGGAGGAGGAAACGGAGGAGGAGGAGGAGGAGGAGGAGGAGGGAGGAGGAGGAGGGAGGAGGAGGAGGAGGAGGAGGAGGAGGAGGAGGAGGAGGAGGAGGAGGACGGGGGTCGCGCTTCTACCCCGTCCGTCTTGAGCCTGCGGTGGGATCGGCTGCCTTGCTCAGGCGGGCGGTCGATTCGAGCAGGGATCTCCGCCCCCTGCTGCAGGTGATCGTTGCCGCTTCCGCGGCGGCGGTCGCCTGGGAGCTTGGCTCTCTGAGCCGTGGCTCCTCGGGCTCTGCCCGCCGCCCTCTGCCACTGGCGGGGCGGGAGGACGCGGTCGCCCCCACCGTTCCTTCCCTGCGGGTGTGTTCGCGCGCTGGCTGGGTGCTACCTCTCGCTTTCGCTGCTTTCGCGCGGAGGCCCCTCGTCCGCTTGCTCGGGCCGCGCTGCCCCCTTGGCCCGTGGTTCCCCAGGCGTCGGATTCTCCTCTGCCTCAGCCCGTGGTCCACTGGACAATGGCGTCTGCCTCGCGCTCGCTGCTGCAAAACCGCCCGCCTCCCCTCGACCTATTCCCCCTGGCCCCTGGGGCGGCGGAGGAGGCTCTCTTCAGGGGAAGGCGAGGAGGAAGAGCTCACGCGCCGTGTGCTGCGGCATCTTGTCAGCTCCCTCCCCGTGCGCGGACCGCGCCGTCAGCCAGGCAGTCCTCTAGTCGTGCCACACTCACCGCTGCTGCTGCGTCGCGAAGAGTTCGGTCGCCTGCCAACGAAGCTCGCTGGTCAAACGGTGGCGCTCCGAGGGTGGACCCCGCTGGCGCGCCCCCGACGAGGGGCAACGAGGCAACAGGGGCGAAGACAACCGCGCTTCGCATGGCGGAGTCGGAGCAGGAGGGTCTTCCTCATCTCGCCTTCTCTCCTGGCCCTCCTCCTCCGGTCGCCGCTGCGCCCTGGTTCAGCGTCGAGCCTCAGCCGGGCAGTGCGCTTCCTGGCTCCACTGCTTGCGCGGCGGGGCGCGCGGATCGCCTCGGAAGCGGCTTCGTCGGTCGTGGGGCCACCTCCGACCACTGGCTGCCCCGCCTCTGGCGGTCCGGAGCTCGCTCCTGAGCGTGGCGCGTCGGCCCCCCCGCGCGCCCGGCGGCAGGTCTGCCCCGCCGCCGCGCGCGTGGGCGCCGGCACGCGCGCTCGGAGACCGCTCGCCGGGGCGGGGCGAGAGAATGCTCTTCCTCCTCGTCGTCCTCATGCCCCTCCTCGCGATCCTCGTGTTCTCCACGTCGTCCTCGCCATCTCCTCTTCGTCGCCCTCGCCTTTCTTCTCTTCTTCTTCGGCCAATATTCAGAAGTAGAAAAAAACACAGACACAAATAATCCTCGATTCCCCAGAAAATATGGGAAAATATGGGAAGTGGGGGGGAACACAGAAACCCAGAAAATATGGGAACGTATGGGGAATCTTTTTATTAGTGTCTATTTATTTGTCTGTCCCAGGGCCCCTTCAAATACGCCCATTGGAATAAAGCGGCGCTTCCCGTTCTTGTCCGATCAGGTTTGGCAACTTGGGTCCCGGGCCCCTAAGAAACTCCCCAGGCGTGAGGATTGAGGCTTTGAAAGACGAGGCAAAGGACCTGAGGACACGTCCATTCCTTTGCCCAGTGGCACGGTGGCGGATTCTTGGACTCCCAGATCACAATCTGTTTTAGGCACCTTCCTGTTTGCAGTGCCGAGTGGCTTTCTTTTCTCAACTCTCTTCACGGGGCGGGCGGAAACCCACGCTTTCTTTCAACGCATTCCTACTTCATGTATCCTTCCGACAGATGGGTACAATCATACATCTCTTTAGGGATTCGCCAGCCCAGCCGTTGACTTTTGTCTCCCTCAGTCCAGTCGCGGCCTGCCGCGGCTGTTCACACAGGTCCTTTGCTCCAGCCCGCCGCCCCACGCGTATCGGCACGCGGGACCTCGAGGGTTTCCTCCTCTTGCGGCCTGTGCAGGTCAAGATCATGTCGCTGGCGGAGAAGGAGAAGGAGAAGTACCTTGGGAAACCAAATCATGCGAATGCGAAGACGTGGCTTTGTGCAGGTTGGATCGCACCCGCAGCCTATTGTTTATAAGCTGGTAAGTACCATATCCGAGGGACATAATCACACTCATCAGGGGTTGGCTGAAGATATTGGCTGTGACTGTTGGTCGCGGTTGGCCAGAGGGCGGGTCAGCGTAGGCTGGGGGGTTGGCGGGGGTAATTCTTCGATGGGTTGTCATCCCGATAACGTTGAGTAATGCAGCAGGCTGCCCTTCGTGTCAGATGTTCCCGTGACACACTGCGATTCGAACCAGCCACGCAGTGCCGCGTCACCCTGACCGCGGCGCCCGATGCATCCTCCAGAGCCGCCGGATCTCCGAGGTTCTCGATTTGTCGGGGCCCCCGATGTCCTTCTCGTCCTGGCTCGGACTCGCACCTCGCACTGCCGCGGCCCAGCCGCACACCGTCGGCGACCGGCGGGCGCCCGCCGCGCACCGCCTGCCCGTGCCCGCGGCCGCGCGGCCCGGGCCGCGCGCCGAGGCCCGCCCTAGAGGCCGCGAGCGGTCGGCCGGCTTCGGGGCGCTTCGGGCTCGGGCGTCGGTCGGTTCGAGGCATCGAGGCATCGAGGATCGAGGATCGAGGCATCGAGGATCGAGGAGGCATCGAGGCATCGAGGATCGAGGATCGAGGAGGCATCGAGGATCGAGGATCGGGCTAGGCATCGAGGCATCGAGGATCGAGGTCGGTTCGGGGGGGGCACCCTCCGGGGAGGAATATGCCCGCACCGCTGCCCTTGCCTCGTGCTCCCCTGTCTGGGCATCCCAGGAGGCCGTCGTCTCCACGGCTGGACTCGCCTCGAGATCTTGGTCAGAACGCACCCCGCGAGAGGTCCGGGGAGTAGCGGTATCGGTACCTTTTGCCCAAGGGTACGCTCGTGTTCTCCGTGTCTGTGGGGTGTTCCCGTGCATCATGGGGAGGGTACCCTTGCATGTTCTGTGCGTTTGGGCCGAAGGAAGGTCTCGTGTTCTTGAAGGATGTTCTTCTGGCCTGGGTTGTCTGCGTCGCCCTCCAAGGGGCGACGCGCGCGCCGAGAAATCTTGTAGTGTAAGCTCCGAGGCGGGCGCTTGCTGGCCGTACCGCTCGGGGAACGATGTATTACAGGATGTTTGTGCTACATGTTCGGTTCGGACACGCGCTTCGAAGGAGGGCGCATAGCACTGATATGTCCTTATGCGTCCCACACGGGCTCGGGCTTCGGGCTCGGGCTTCGGGCTAGCGCTCGGGCTCGGGCTCTAGCTTCGGGCTCGGGCTCGGGCTCGGGCTTCGGGCTCGGGCTTTGGGTTAGCGCTCGGGCTTCGGGCCAGGGCTCGCGCTCCAGCTTCGGGCTCGGGCTCGGGCTCTCGGTGGTCGCACCGGTGGAGCCTACCGCCCCTGCCCCAAGCTCCGTCAACCCTTGACTAGAGGAGCGTCCCCGTGCAGGCCACGCCCATCTCACACCGGCGGGACACGCGTGTCCGAGGGTGCACAGAGGCAACCGACATCGAGCGATCAACGCTATCGGCAAGCCGCGAGTGCTCAAGGTGGAAGGATCGCGGTGTCTAATCACCCAGCGCCAGCGTCGCCACGGCACGAACCTGCCGTCTCTCGAGATCCGACGTTGTGAAACAAAAGTCAGCACCGCGAGAGCTCACGACCGCCGCCCTAGACCCCATCTCTCTGCGCCATAACTCAAGCCGCATCGCTCTGTGATAGTCGGGGCCCGAAACCGGGCAAAACGTCCTGTGTGAAAAACGTTCGTTTTGTGCGCTTTGCAGTCGTGACTCCGAGACGTCTTTCCTGTTCCATTGTCCGCCGTGAATTGCTAACTCTTCTGCCCACGCGTCCTGCTGGATGCTCGCTTCAATGGAGATAGCTTTTTCATGGCTCGGCGATGTGCGGCGTGACCGGGGGGGGCAGGGGGAGGGGTGGTAGGGGGCCACTCACGTCACGATTCGCGCCAGCGCCGTTTAGGAATGCCTAGGAATGGCCAATTCACAGACGGCGCTAGCGCGATTCTTGACGTGATCGGGGGAGGGGGGAGGGGGGGAGGGGCCTGCCACGGGCGTTATCGCGAATGATGGAAGACGGGCTCGTGGTGGAGGTCGTGGAGCTCAGGGTGCAGTTGACCCGCACAGTAATGATGAGCGACTTCCCAAGGTCACCCTTGCATCCTTGCCCCCTCGGCCCATCTTTGGCGACCTTCGCTGGCCAAAACCTCGTTGGAGAAACGCTAACATGGCCCTACAAGGCCCTCGCATCCTCACCGTGCATCCTTAGTATACGGGTTGACGGTATGCCAGGAACTAGTCAGCAGGGGGAAAAACACAGACACAATTCATCGTCGATCCCCCGGAAAACATGGGAACACATGGGAAGCGGGGGGGAAGCCGAAGACACAGAACATCTGGGAAAACGATGGGGAATCCTGGGACTCGCGTCTCTCTGTTTGTGTGTCCCTGGGCCCCTGTTAACCGGCCCCCCCCCCCCCGAGGTGGCGCTCAGGCTTCCGCCGCGGCGGCGGCGTCGGGCCCCCGCCCGCGCGCCACGCCGCACCGCCGCCCCCCCGCGGAGCGCGGAGGCGCGCTGCTCGGCGTGCCCTTCGGGGCGTGGGCCCTTCGGCGCGCGTGCCCTTCGGCGCAGCAGCGGCTCGGCGCGCCGCGGCGCGCTCCGCGGCTCCGTGGCGCGGTCGCTGCCGCGGCCTGGCTGCTGGCTCGGCGGCCGCGGCGTGGCGGCTGCTCGGGTTGTGGGCGTCGCCGCGGCGCGGCGCGGCCGCCGCCGCGGCCTGGCCACTGCTCGACGCCCGCGGCGTGGCTGCTCGGGCTGTGGGCGTCACCGCGGCGGCGGGGCGGGGGCGCTGCGTCCCGCCGCGCGCGTGGTCGTCGTTGGCGTTTCGCCGGCGGCGTATCGAGGATGGTGTCTATGTTGATGTTGATGGTGATGATGGTGCTGGTGGTATTTGTGATTGTGAAGGTGTTGATGGTGATGGTGGTGATAGTAATGGTGATGGGATGTTGGGGATTATGGCGATGACATGCTGGTGATGGGTGGTGACGACGACAGCAAGGACGGCGACGAGGATTAGTTCGATGCTGGTCGTGGTTGTAGTGCTTATGACGATGACGATGGCGATTGCAATGTCGAAGATGATAATGATGACAATAATGATGGAGGGTGATGGTTCTGCTGCTGATGCTGATGTTGACGATGATGCTGATGAGGATGATGATGATGAGGATGCGGAGGAGGACGCTCACGACGACGATGATGCTGATGACGATGGCGATGACGAACACGATGACTACGATGATGATGATGCTGCTTCTGATGATGATGATGATGATGATCATAATCATGATGATGATGATGATGCTGATGATGGTGATGATGATGAAGATGATGATGATGATGATGATGATGATGATGCTGATGATATGATGATGGTGATGATGATGATGATAATGCTGATGGTGATGTTGATGATGATGACAATTGGTGATGATGATGCTGATGACTAAGTAGAAGATGCTGCTGCTGATGACGGTGATCGTTATGATGAGGAAACGGAACACATGTTGTGATGATGATGCTGATGATGCCGATGACGATGCTGCTGTTATTGATGATGATTATGCTAAGGATGAGTCTGATTCTTATGATGGTGCTGATAATGCTGCTGCTGATGATGATGCTGATGATGATGCTGCTGCTGATGATGGTGATGATGAAGATGAGGATGCTGATGAGGATGCTGATGCTTATGATGCTGATGATGATGCTGATGGTGATGATGATGCTGATGATGATGATGATGATGATGGTGGTGGTGAAGATGAGGATGATGCAGATGTTGATGATGCTGGTGGTGATGTTGTTGATGATGATGATGATGATGATGATGATGATGATGATGCTGAGGATGATGCTGCTGCTTCTGCTGCTGCTGATGATGAGGATGATGATTCTGATACTGCTGCTGCTGCTAACGATATTGATGATGCCGATGCTGCTGCTGATTATGATGACGATGATGATGATGATGATGATGATGATGATGATGATGATGAACATGATGAGGATATCGATGCTGCTGCTGCTGATGATGATGATGCTGATGATGATGATGATGATGATGATGATGATGATGATGATGATGATGATGATGATGATGATGACGGTGGTGGCGATGATGACGGCGATGGTGACTGTAGTCCGATCGATGGGCCTCTGGGTGCCGCCCCCCCCTGCCCCCTGGGGCGCAGGCAGAGATTTGGCACACGCTCTGTGGAGACTTCGCTGCTGCAGGCGCGCGCGCCGCCGGGCTGCGCGACGGCGGGCCGTGCGAGGGTTCGTCGATCGACGTTCGCTCCATGCCCGTCGTGGCGCGGGTGGAAGCAGGGCCCGTGAAAAGCACGTGGCCTCGGAGGCTCTGGCTCCCGCTCTGGCTCTGGCTCCTCGTGGCGTCGGGGCGCCAGCAGGGGCATGGGTAGCATGTCGATGGCCTAAGGTGCCCCTGCGGAGTCGGTCGGGGGCGGCCAAGAGGGGGGTGGATCTCACGGCTGGGGCACTTCATGGCCGTCTCTCCTTCTTTCCAAGCGCCCCCTGATCCCCCCCCTCTCGGACGCTCTCTTCTCGGACGCCGCCTGGGTTGGCGCTAGGAGGAGGATTCGTAGTTGGGGCCATGCTGATGCTGATGCTGACGATGATGATGATGATGACGACGATGATGATGATGATGATGATGATGATGATGATGATGATGATGATGATGATGATGATGATGATGATGATGATGATACTGATGATGATGCTGATGATGATGATGATGCTGCTGATGATGATGATGATGATCATGATGATGATGATGATCATGATGATGACGATGATTATGCTGATGCTGCTGATGATGATGACGATGATGATGCTGATGATGATGATGATGATTCTGATTGCCTCTGCTGCTGATGATGACGATGATTATGCTGATGCTGGTTCTGATGATGATACAGACTTCGACGATGCTGATGATGATTGCTTCTGCTGCTGATGATGATGACGACGATGATGATGATGCTGATGATGATGATGATGATGATGATGGCTATGATGATGATGATGATGATGATGCTGATGCTGATGATGATGATGATGATGCTGATGATTAACATGATGATGCTGCTGATGATGATGATGATGATGATGATGATGCTGATGCTGATGCTGATGCTGATGCTGATGCTGATGCTGCTGATGATGCTGCTGATCATGAAGATGCTGCGGATGATGAGGATGGTGATAATGACGATGCTGCTCATGATGCTGTAGAAACATATGGTACTGGTGGGGATGACGACGCTGCTGCTGCTGCTGCTGCTGCTGCTGATGATGATGATGATGATGATGATGATGATGGTCAAGATGATGCTGATGCTGATGCTGATGCTGATGCTGATGCTGTTGATGATTCTGATGC